TTTAATTTAGTAATTTTTAGTCAGACTAAATGAAAATAAATGTGTATAAAAATATATCTAATAATTATAATAATTGCAGCTACATATGTATTGAGCACAAATACGCCATCTTCGCTCAACAAATGCGAGGTATTTGAGGCAATGCTGTCTGACAGCGAGTTCAAGTGGGAGAAAAGTTGGAGAATGTGAGAGTTTTAGTTACTTTTTAGTTGTTTTTGGGCCGTTGTTAATATTATTGCACTGCGGAACAACATTTCACTTTCCAGACCCAAACAGCCCAGGCCAGATATGGAAGAGATATAGATGGTTGCAGCTGAAGATATAAACAAAGTAAACTGAAGTGTGTTTCTGTTTTTTATAGAATAGAATAAGGCTGGTGAAAAAGGTATTTTCGTTGAGAAAATAAAATTATAGCGATCTGACTTATAGCTTTTAGAACCCTAGAAAGGCAATATGCAGAGATACTTTACATAAAAATGGTCTTGGTTAGAGCTAGACTCAGGATGTATGAAAACATTAGCAGATGCAGTAGATGCTTTAGGACCTATACGACAGAACCAGAACGAAGGCCGGAGGGATCTGTCACAAAATGATATAATGTTAATGGTAATCATAAGCTGGGATCACAAAATCACGCAGTTACTTGGAAAGCTATCACAAATGCAGATCAACTGATGAAGATCCTTCATAGGGCATAATTACGTTACAATTAGAAATCGTGTCAAATAATATCAGCAAAGATAAAAGGACTAACTATTTCCCACAGACATAAATTCAAAGTGAGGAGAGTCATCCTAAAGGAGCTTCTCCTCAGCCTTGACTTTCGCTGAGGAAGAGTTTAAGAGTACAGATCTTTTACATGCCGATAAAAAAAACTTCTGGGAGGAAGGCGGAGATACTGAAATCGATAGCAATAAGACGGCTTACCACTTATTTTAAAAAGCAAAAACGGGTTTTTGTGGAAGCTTCCACAAACAAGGATTTTCCCTTATTGGCAAAGACAATACCCTAAAACATTGTCAAAAAGGCTAATAAAACTCAGATTGTTTGTGGTAGCAGAGAATACTGAAGGAGCTAGACCCAGACAGCACGGCCCTAAAAGTCGAGCTATTGAAGAAGTGATTCAGGCTGCCAGGGAAAAGTAGAGGAAATGCATAATGCATGTCAGATGGCTCTACCAGGCAAACTGAATGCCAAGGACATATTTAGACATATTTAGCGTTAGGTACATATTCCTTGGTGCTTGCATATGCCGTATCGCTTAATGGACATGGTTTCCAGGAGAGATCTGTGCTGAATGCTACACAAGCAGATACAGTAGTTGATCTCTGGCTTATTAGCAACCATGATATTCTAAGGTGGAAATAGCTGAAGATTCGTTTCCAAAGGCTTAACAAGCTCATAGCCAGGCTATCAATATACTAATGTGTTGCCATACATAACATTCCATACATATCAAGTGCCTGCCAGGATCGAGGCGAGTTTTAGCGAATTGGCAGGAGCTGTCACTGGGCGGCCAATTGCTGCCACCTCCTGTTGCTCCCGTTGGCCGCCCAAATGCCACCCACGGCTGGCGGCCTTCCGATTGGCGCCTTCTCAGCCGAAGGCGCACTCAGCGCATGCGCCAAACCCGACCCAGTGCGGTGCACCCCCCTAGTGGCCGCCCAAGCGCCCAACCGCCCAGCCGCCCGGCTGGCAACGACCAATCGGCGCGTTGCGTTTTTCGCCGTAGAAGCCGAGCCAAAAGATTTGAATTGTGGCTTCCGTTGTTGATAGCCGCGCGTCTAAAAATAATTTTAGATGAGCATTTTAATTACTTGGACGAAAAAGATAATGCGAATGCTGGCTCTACAGCTGCTGCTACAGCTGCTGCTGCTGCTGCTGCTGCTGCTACTGCTACTGCTGCTGCTGCTGTTGCTGTTGCCTCTGCTGCCACTGCGACCTGTCCTATCAGCGGGACGCCACAGTATTTGGGTCAGTCTGACCAAGAACACGCCAATGCCCAAGATCTGGGCGGATGCCCGCCTTTCGACTGAAGTCAAGAGGTGGCCGCGACTTATCGCCTTATGCATATCACTCTAAACATACCTACACACACACATAAATATATATTCATATTATACAGAACTATGTATGAAGTTGAAAACCGCAATCCGAGATAACATAACAAATAAAAGGGCTATCTGATGCGAACACCAAATACCCTCTATATAGTATATAGTATGTTTATAATATATGTATATACACTATATAGTATATAAGAAGAAGTGTTATCGCCTTACTCTGTGATTTTCATAAGATAAACCCACTTTTACTTAAGTAATTTAAGTATTCTTTTACACATAAGTGTAGCTCCACGGCGTTTCGGTCTACCCAATTCAGAAACTGTTTCTAATACCCTATACAGTGAGCATTGAAAAATGTTATCAGCCATCGAAGAGTGACGCAAATGTTAAGGCCAAATGGAATTCCACCACGATGGCTGTTAACGTTGTTGGAAAGCTTCCAGCTGCAGTTTGACAGTCACTGTGCGCGCGCAAGCTTTTAGCCAAGTCAAAAAAGCTTTGCGAAAACTTTCAATATCCAAATTTAAGCCAAATTCCTAACCGTCCCACAGTGCAAAACTAATTCTTATTTAACTTGTCCTTAATATGTTCTGAGGTCGATTCATGGGAAAATTGAAAGCTTTCAACACCTCACAAAATATATAGCATGCAGTGGGATGTGGTAGCAACCCCAATCAATACACATGAATGTATATATGCTCTTGATCATGCTGAAAAACGGAGTAAGGCTCAACAGACACTATATAGAGTATTGCATACGGTAACCAAAATAAGCCAGTAATTTTCTCTAGATAACCATTCTGTTTGATGAAATACTTAAAAGTTATCAAGCCGAAGAACCGAGTTGCCCGTGCTTAGATTTTAAGCTAGTCTTCATTTTATATTATTTCTAATTTCTACTAAATGAATGAATCTTAAGACTATGAACTCTAGAAACATCTGTGTTCAGATCCTCATAATAAATACGTAAGCTATCAATATATCTAACTGTAGATACCTTATCTTACACAATTTAAAGCATTACAACCAAAACTTTGTTATAAAATTCTATATACCATAATTAGAGTCTTGAATAATTCAGAATATGTTCAAGTCGATTACTGACTTAATTTTTTATACCCTGAATCCATTGAAAATGGGAAATGGACTGTATGTAATAGGGAGAAGGAGGCGCGGCAGACCACAAGGTATATACAATATATTCTTGATCAGGGCTACGAGCTATCCGTATGTTTGAACGCGTCGATCTCAGAAGATATAAGAGGTAGAAACCTGAAATTTAATATAATTAATTTTTTTAAACGTCGGTATACATAGCGCGGATCTCGAGATATTCTCCAAAAAACGATAACTACTCCCTATAATTTCGTATCGATTAAAAACCTTATCAAAATATAGTTATTTGATTATATCTCTTACACCTTTAGAGCTAGAGTTTCCAAATTTTTAATGTAGTTTCATAGAAATTTGATAGAAATTCGATTTTTGTTGT